TCTACGACTTTATTAATATTAATTATACCTAAATTAGTTAAATATGTGTATTAATTTCATTGTAAAATAATACTATAAAAAATAGACTAACTCTTTTTGAATTATTGGTTGATTAACTTGTGAAAAATTTTTTTTACAAGTATCAAGAGTTTGTGCACTGGGTGTCAATGGTAAAAAATCATAAAAACTATCATCTCCAATTTTTCTAAAGAAAAAAAACCCAGCACAGGGGGGTTGCGGCACAGTGGTGACGTGGCATAGATGGATCAAGTATAATGATATCTGACAGTGATTAAAATCACTATCAAAAAACAAAAAACGCTTCGATGCAAATCTTTAGATAGTGTTTAATTTTAAAAAATTGGTGGATTATTCCAAAAGCTACATGATCTGCTAGTTCATTATTAATATCTTAATTAAGATAAAGTATGTCGAATGAAAAAGGGATTATTAAAAAATATTATTTCTTATAAAAAAATAATGTTGATCCATACACTTTTAAATATGTCATAGCATTATAAAGTTAAAAATGTAAAAAATAAAATCGAAAATTTTCACACAAAAATAGCATTCGGTAGCCATTTTCAGCGTGAAGATAAAATAAAGTCCGAAATTTTTTTTTACCATAATAAAGTATATTACATTAGCTTCAATTTAAGATATATATAAAAGTGTCAGACTTTCCGGAACAGTTTCAAAATTTAAGTTGAAAAAGTAAATTTTTTGTGAAAAAGTTGTCATTTTAAATCCCCCCCTGTGGGCAGGTAAAGGGTCAGATATAAAAAAAATATATACCAAATGATAGGTAAAGACATCATGCATCTATAAAAAAAAAATTATATTGATCCATACATCTTTCAAAAAGTTATAGCATTATAAAGTTAAAAATATAAAAAAGAATTTTTTTACAAAAATCGTATTTTTTTTATAAACTTTGATGTCTGTTTTCACCATGAAGATAAAATAAAGTCCGAAATTTTTTTTTAGCATAATAAAGTATATTACATTAGCTTTAATTTAAGATATATATAAAAGTGTCAGACTTTCCGGAACACTTTCAAAATTTAAGTTGAAAAAGTTCTACTTTCTACATGCATTTTTTAGATTTGAACCCCCCTCGTATATAGGGAAATGGTCCGATTTAAAAAAACAGTCAAATGAAAGATGTATATGAATACTACTTCTCATGAAAAAATTGTACCGATCCATACATATTTCAAAAAGTTATAGCATAATAAAGTTAAAAATGGAAAATNCATACATTTTTCAAAAAGTTATAGCATAATAAAGTTAAAAATGTAAAATACAAAATCGAAAATTTTCACACAAAAATAGCATTCGGTAGCCATTTTCACCGTGAAGATAAAATAAAGTCCGAAATTTTTTTTTACCATAATAAAGTATATTACATTAGCTTCAATTTAAGATATATATAAAAGTGTCAGACTTTCCGGAACAGTTTCAAAATTTAAGTTGAAAAAGTAAATTTTTTGTGAAAAAGTAGTCATTTTAAATCCCCCCCTGTGGGCAGGTTAAGGGTTAAATTTATGAAAAAAATATACCAAATGAAAGGTAATGATATTATGAATCTATGAAAAAAAAATTATATTGATATGTTTATTTTTGAATAAGTTATGGCACTATTAAGTAAAAAAAATTGAAAAAATTTCGAAAATTAGCGATTTTTAAATTCGTAATTTTTTTGGAGGTTTCCCCCATTTACGGGGAACGAGGGAA